GTCGGCACAAAGGAGGCCAATGAGGAGCCTTCCTCTAGACAGATGCTATCAGAAAACCAGCACCTACATCGTGCCCTGTTTTCTCTTTGTCGAGGTGAGTTAAATAATTTACCCCTTATTCAGATAAAACTAAAAGTTCAGTACTGTGATCCTATGTTTTGCTACACCAAGTCACCTCACAACACTGATCAAATTAATAAACTGACACCAGTATTTCTTTTTTTATAACCTTGCTTTTGATGTTCTGTAACCGGGGAGCAAAGTTGTATAGAGGCTGCTTTGCACTTGTTTGGAGATTTTAGACACCTCTTTAAAGTTCACAAAGAGCAAGCTGATGGATACCTGAGAGCACATTTTACAGCTTATGCTTTTTCAAAAGCAAGCCCATTTTTCATACTTTCATATTTTCACGCTGCAGATCAACAAGAATGAATGTCAGTTGTGAAACAATGTGAACATCGAGCCTTTGTTGTGAAGTTTCTAATTCCCAAATCGAGTGACTGAGTTGGATGAATTGTCACAAATGGGTAATTTTCCTTTGTCTATGACTTACTTAGTGATAACGTTAAGCAGGAGATTAAAATTGAACCTTTTTTACTGATAAACCGCTGCTCGTCTCTTCCTACAAGTCCCCTTCCCTCCCATTGGAGTGCTGATGGCCTCTGCTGCATTTCCAAATGAATTGGCCTAATTAAGGACAGAAACCCAGTTACCCCATGCCACTGCTAGCACACGCCAGGCGTGCAAGTTCTCTGAGCTCCAGCACTGACAGCAGAATGAGCGGAATTGGGTGTTTTGCCAAGGGGCATGTCACAAAAGTAGTCCTTGATTTGGATTTTTGGCTGAAATCTTGGCCCAGCAATCTACAAGGAATTGGAATATTAAAGTTTCAACGTTAATCAAATTTGGACGCAGAATTGAAGAGTGGGTTTAAATTAGAGCACAAAGCCTTGGGGCAAACAAAAAACGCTGATGACAGATTTTTTTTTCCTGATGTTGATAGGAACCTTGGTAAACACTGGTCTTTTTAAATGTGATATCCTTTTTTAAGTATTTTGGAAGCAAACTACATTCTTCTTCAGTTGTGCTGTTAGCCTTTATTGCCATTAGCGCCTTTGTGTTAATTCACAGAATCCTCCTGAGATGAGATGAGACATGTTATTCCTTTTTCATCCAACTCTTAAATCAGAGACAATTTCCACATGAACATACCACTCCGTGCACATCTGTTGCCTCTGCATCTCCTTAAAGCACAACATCCCACAATACAGGTTTATGGCTTTAATTTTTTAGTTTAATCTATTTTGGTTCTCAACATCCACTTGAGGACTTATTATGACTTCCCCGCTTTCTATTTTTTCATAGTGTGTGTACAGTATCTTTAGAAGACAATCTGTCAGAGATGCTCCTCCCCTTGTATAGTATTCTCTTTGATGGTCTCATGTGTACTGCCCAGTCACTCTTTTCACACAAGTTTCTTTCTCAAGCACTAATTCACTTTAGTGAATCTCCATTATCCCCCCTTACATAAAACCCTCATCCTCCCCTCCCAACTGATTGTCTCATTTCTCCTCATCTTTTCTGTCCATTTTGTCATCTTGATAACAGCCCCTGAGGGGCTCTGGGTTCTGTTTGTGTTACCTCAGACACAACCAGATGTGGGATGATGTCAATCTGCTTTGACTTTTTTCACTGTGTATCCACCTGAAATAATCTGCACACACTGCAGTAGTTTAATAAAGGGCATTTTGAAATTAAATCCCCCTCTCCACTATGTTCATTCTAGAGCAGGTTGGTGTAGCGCAGCTCCCCCCGGAGGGCATTCTATCCTTTGTTGTTACATTAGCATCTCATTACACTTTTCTTTTGTATTTAAATGCCCAATATTATTCCTCTTTCTCTCGTGTTGCTGATTCACTTTCTTGCACTTTGTTTCATTCGCTGTCTGGCACTAAATTACTTGATGCAACTCACTCTCTTTTCCTCTCCGTTATCATTTGATCTGCTTGACAAATCTGATCTGCTTCTATCACTGTGTCGGTCCCGCTCTCAGTTCATCACTACTTTGATCCCAAATTGGTTGTAGTATCTATCTATCCTTTCAATCTGTTCAGTCTCCCCACTCTTCCTGTCTCTACCCTTTGTTCCTCGATTATTGGTTTATTCCTTTAAGACATGGAAATCGAATGTTATAATGTTAGAAGTCCACACATTTAGTTTTAACTGTATGGGGGAAAAAATCGTGGAGAACACAGATATCTTCCTCCCACCTTCTCAGTGAATTTAACAACACTGTTCCTGTCGATATTTGTAAGCCACAAAAGTGGCTGTTAGGTGAGCTACTTCAAAAACGTACCTTAATCAAAGGTGGCACACTTAGCTTTTTATGGCATGTTGAAACATTTTTAAATTAGAATTTTGAGGCTTTCTGCATATGTGAGTAGCTGTTGTTTGAGGCACAGTTGCTCTTATCTCACCTCTGTTTTCGTAGCTGTCTTGTAAAAGTCTGTTTCAAGGTGTGTATGCTTAGCAAGTGTTCAGCTCTGGCCACAAGCATTCCTTCTGATGAGTATAACAGCTTCACACTTCCTGTGTGAAAGGGGAACATGAGAGGGTGGGACTCAGGGTTCTAGGCCTGAGTGGCGTAACTTTGAAATGAAAACTAGAATGGATAATTGATTAAAGAAAGCTTGAACAAAGGGACAGCTGTTCCTTGATGTAGTTTAACACTTGTTGGTGGCTTCAGACACCCAAATATACACTCCTGTCATGGTTGATGGTAGGATAAGTGATTGAACCCAGATGCAGACACAGGACAAAGGCACTAATTGGACTTGAAACTGACTAAGTTTATGAAATTGAAACAAAGGGAAGCCATGACAGATATCAAAAGTCTACATTTGGAGAACATAAGAAATACTAAGAAATAGCAAAAGCAGGAATGTGACATAAGACAAGGGAATACAGAGCAGAGGAAGAAAAACAGGAAGAATATCCACAAGACTCTAACATTGAAGGGGGCTGAACCACAGAGCTTACATAAAGGGAAGAGGGATAAGTGGATGCAGAGCAGGTGCGACAGGGCGGACAGGTTAAGGGTATGGAGCTGCTGACCAGTCTGGAAAAATACAGGGACACGCTAGAGAACAGGTAACTGAAACATAATAAGGCTGGAAACATATAAGTAGCACTAAACAAACTAAAAAAGATGGAATCAAGAATAAACTACAAACTCAAGGAAAGCTCAAGATAAAACTCAAATGTCAAAATGAACAAAGCCACAGGGCAAACTGATCCATTTGGTCAGACATTGGTGGAATTTGGATCAAACAGGGCTTCAACGCAAAAGAAGTTTGGATACTGTGTAAAATGGATATGGAGACAGAATGTTATAAGAAATGTCAGTCATCTATGTTTTATTCACTATAAAACAGATTTACTTTGGAAGTCATAAATTGAACTATTTCACGAAAAATATAAACCTTTCTTGAATTCGAGGCCGTAACACAGTCTGCAGTCTGTAAACATTTGAGAACAGAGAATGAAATGAAATAGAGTGAAGACAATTTAACATCTTTGCATGTTGAAGGTTTAATATTGTGGATGTCAGTGTGATTTCTTAACACACTCATTAGCCCAATCAGTGATTTTCATGATATAATTATATCTAATCTATATATAATCTATATATAATTATGTATTTTTATGTTGTGCTATCACAAGGGTATCAATTTTTTTTTTCAAATTTACTATTTTTGTATCCTATAAAGAATTTACATTATGTGTTGTTTATGGTAGAATATTTAAATTTGAAACATTATGTTGAAAATGATTCACAATGTGTTAAAGTAGTTTTTGCAGTTTGCTGTATCTTTTCCTGTTACATCTAATGAATTCAAAGTCTTAAATACGCTTTTTATTAATACCCAGTCCACTGACCCGTTTTTAATAAATCTACTTGGTTGTAGCATATTCCATACTCTTTTAATGTAAATTTGTTTTTCAAATTTAGTATACTATTGGCATCATTTTTTACATGAATAATGAAATGTCTCCCTTTGAACTTTCAGTGCTTTCTGTTTTTATCAAGAATTCGTGAATGGTTTATAAGATGAAAAAACTTTTAGTTCTTATTACTCGTTATTATACATCAGTATATTTAGCTTTAATGGATTTTTATTAACATTTTACACAGCTTTCTAATGTAGAAACAATTGTCTGACCTGAAGCTTTCATACAGAAATAATCACAAGTGGATCTTTGAATTTAGGCTCCTCTTTTGTGCTCTGTGCTTGCAGTTACTTTTTTGTTTTGAAGCATCAGGTGTGACTGTAGTAATATATGAGAAATCTTTGTGAAAACCCTTAATGACTGCACAACAGTCCCTCTGTTATGGAACAGAGCCCTGGCAGTGTAAATGCTGGCTTTCCTACTTCACTGCTCAGCCTCCACTGCCTGCTCAAACAAGTTAAGCGTCCTCCTCTTCATTCCTTCTTCTTTGGCTGCTTCGTCCATTGGCTTAGCAAATTCTGTAAAATAAACAGACGGCTGAGCAGCAAACCAAATAATATTTCAGCTCTGAAGCTTATGCTGTCGCCAATGATTCTCTTTATAGTTGTTCATAAATACTTGCATCTGTTATTTCCTAAGCTCTCAGCAGATTTATATATATGTAACGTAGTTACTCAAGCGCTGAGTTTGTTTTTGTTTTGGTAACTAATTCTCACGTCGTTTCAGATCCTACTCTTCCCTACCAGGCAATCTCTCGTTCCCTTCACCTGGTTTTCTCCACCCATTTCCTCACCTTCAGTTCGTTAGCTCATTTGGTCCTCAGTATTTATACCAGTCCATTTCCACTTCATCCCTGCCATATTGTCTTGTGTTGTCCTGTGCCAATCTTTCCCGCATTTACCTGATCTGACCTCGCTTTTGCCCCTCTCGGACTTTGGATTGCTGCATGCCCCTTATCGGATTTGTTTGCCTGATTGATCTCCTGGTTTTTGGACAAGGTAAACAGGTTTTCCCTTAATGCTTGCCTGCCTCGTTGTCGTGCATTTGGGTTATCTGTTGCCAGCACCAGTGGTTGATATATTATGTATATGTATACTACTTTCAAATGGAATATCAGGCCTATGTCATTAGATTATCCCATTAAGATGCTGTTTTACTGGCAACTTGACCAGGGTTCTTTCCTTCTTTGCTTTGTCAGCTGGGATAGGCTCGAGTCTCGCTGGAACGCCACTAGGAATAAGCAGGATCAATAATAGCTGGATGGAAAATACTGTTTAATTTTTGAGTAACTGATTTTTCCATCACAAGGTTACAAAATGTGATATGATTGCTACAAGTTCAGACATTTTGATTTTCATGGAAGCTAAAGATACCCTGCCATGTGAAACCTTTCAAGTTTAAATTTTGAGATGTTCGCTGGTTAGACACTTGTTTTTTCACATTAGTCACAATGTAATATTCCAAAATGGGGTAAATCCTCAAATCTCTCATCAATCAACCCCTGATTAAGGGAAAGATGGGGTATTGCCTGGAAGGGTTGTCAGTCCATCACAGGGTCACACGCACTAACATTCAGTCCTATATTATTCAAATCATAATAAAGGCTTAATCATAATAAGATGCCTACTGTATTTTGATAACCACAAAAAATAGTGACCAGAATTCCATCTGAGCAACTACTGTAGTTGTATGAATTATATTTTGTAAAGTCTAAAATATGGATTATCCATTTAATGTTTTTACTTGACAGAATATGCTTCAGTATCATGTGATAATGAAATATAAAGTGTAGAGCTCAGATAATTAGATTGCATAAACCTGAGATCCTGAAAAATTCTAGCTCTCTAATGACAAACTAAGTAATATCTTGGATTATTCTCCCCCTTTGTCCGGACTGTTCTTTCTGAGGTTAAAAAAACACCCCAACACAGTGATATTGCCGTATCTGTGTTTGACTTGGGTTGTGTTTATTTCAATGAAACGTTGGACTTTGATTTTAATGGCTTGTGACTCACTCGTTGGCATTTTGGCAGAGCCTCAATTTGTCTATGGCTTTAGCCTTAGTGTCCTATCATTTAGGCCTTGATCTTTGAAGTGTTGTCTTTTTATAACATTATTGCAGTAATACATATGACCATGACGATTCGTACTCAAAGCTAATTATTTATTTATAGATTTGCTTTCAATGCTGCACATATTTTATGTTCTCCTCTTCAGATTTGTGCCTCAAAACAATCCTATCTCACAGGTTTGCTGACAGGCCGCGGTTATTACTTTAAACTCTGAGAACCTTTCATAGACAAGTTTGTGCTCACATTGTTGAGATCATTAATATCAGTTAGGTGCTGGGGGACTGAAACAATGCAAAGCCTCCTGAAAAAGAGGATAAGCATCAGAAATCTGCTGCTTTACTCTTTAAAGTGAATACTTCTTAAATTTATTTGTAGACTGAAAGTCTATTTTAAAAAAACACCAACTTTGTAAACCTCAAAACCACACGTTTCTTACTGTTGGTAAGGTAAAAAAAAAATCTGTCAGGGTCTGAAATACCGTAATTCTTGGTTTAGGTGAGCCCTCCCATGCTGTTGCTTTCAGGTCGCTTTACATGTATGATGGTTTTTTTGGGGCTTTTTTTGTGACCAACAAAATTGTGTGTATAGCTGGACATGTGCAGTGCTCATATGGATGTCAAAACGGTTCATCAAGGAGACATAGATTTGAAATAAAACAAAAACCAGAAAGGGGTCTAAAAAACATCCGTTGACACTGACCGTGAGATATTATTTTCTGATGGCATAGTTGTTCTTGCTCTCATAGGGTTCTCTACAACAAAGGCCCTCATTTTCTGCTTGAATTCATTTTATCCAGATTCCCGGTTGGATTTGACTGAACCTCACTACATGGTTTGCCCCAAGGCAACACTTTCGTTGTATCTATTTAATCTTTCATATGTTCGTTTCATCTAAACAGCTTTATTGCACCAAGACAAATATGCTCCACCCATTCTCAGATATTTGGTTATCCTTTCTTAGAAATATTCCACAATTTTTGTAGGATCAATAAAGTATCTATCTATCTATCTATCTATCTATCTATCTATCTATCTATCTAT